ATATTTTGAATTAATTTAAAAATGGAGAAGCGAGACTTAGCTTCGAACAACCACTACGAGACTTAGCTTCGAACAACCACTACGGTGGTTGCAATTAATGCACACATCTTGCTAATCTTTCAAAGGCTAATATTTTCGAACAATTATAGCAAGAATGATTAGTTCTTTATCTAAATCTTACATAAGGTATCTTTAACGAAATATGACAGTTTAAATTATTTGCCCGTGTCAAGATGAGCTTTTAGCGACTTGCTATAGCCGTTTTAATGTGGGAACTTGTTAAAAACATAAAATGAATAGTGATTGCATTTATGTATATGGCATTCATGTTTAAACTGATAATATAAAATGTACTCCCACCCATGTAATGAAAGTGTACTCCCAAATTTTATAAAAATCCATGTAGACGATTATGCATTTATACAGTTATCTTTAATAGGATTTTAATTTGAACCTTACAAATAAAACTAATCAAATTGTTAGTTATAATCTAAGATCCGTTAACTTGGATTAAGTTGATTTTTTTTTCTGTTTGAATCTGTTACCTTATTCCACGTGTGTGTGTGTGAAATACTAGTTATAATCTAAGATCCGTTAACTTGGATTAAGTTGATTTTTTTTCGGTTTGAATCTGTTACCTTATTTCACGTGTGTGTGTGTGTGTGAAATACTTTATTTAACGTCCGCTTACACCGAAGTGACATCGCCGATAATTATATGTTATGTATATATAGAAAACATTATTTACCTATGTTCCAAAACGAAGCCTTTATATATCGGATAATACGGTTTTCACGATGTATCTTATAGTTACAGCTTGACCGCAATCTGATTCAAATACAGATCTATATTTCGTTTCGTTTTTTTTAAGGGGAGTTGGATGACCGAATGGTTAGCACGTGCGCGCTGTATCATTAGGTCTTTCATTGATTCAACTGGCATGGTTTCGATTTCCCGGTTGTACGTGACAAGGAGTAGGGTCGCCTGTCCAACCGCGTGGGTTTTCTCCGGGTCCTCCGGTTTCGTCCCACTGCTAAAGACCCCTACGCGCAAGCGAATTATTGAAATAAAATTAAACCATATGTTAGTCCCGAAATGACCCAGTTTGTGTCGAGTTGACGTTAAACCCCATCTCTCTCTCTCTCTCTCTCTCTCTCTCTCTCTCTCTCTCTCTCTCTCATTTTTTATATATATACTTTCGATGGCCTACACCACATGAAGATCTGACCAGTTATATAGCGGGAGGTCGCGTCAGGGTTCGTACGAGCGGCTTTTGACCCTATAACGTCAGGCATTGATTAATCAATCAGCTTTGACGTCTCTAGTGGATTACCCACAGTTCCGTGCATCGCACGCCAAGAACTCGCCGTAACAGAACGTTTCATTGGCTAATCCCTCACTTCAACCAGAACGCCGGTAATATAACAACTCCTCCAGATCCTAGTTTAGTAAAGCAGGTAAAACGAAATTTTGAACTATGAAAAACGAAACGAAATAGGATCTGTGTTTTAATCAGATTGAGCTTGACAGCTGTGGTATGTAAATTTACAGAAAGAAACAGAAATCATTACCTGACAGGAAATATTTGATAACAGTTGAACGTGTTTTGCTTGGAGAGAGAGAGAGATGGGGTTTAACGTCCACTTGTCAAAACTAGGTTATTTCGCGATTAGCACATATGGTTCAATTTTATTTTAATAATTTTCTTGTGCGTAGGGGTCTTTAGCAGTAGGACGAAAACAGAGGACCCGTAGAAAACCCACGCGGTTGGACAGGCCACCCTACTCCTTGTCACACGTACAACCGGGGAATCGAAGCCACGCCAGTTGAATCAATGAAAGTCCTAATGATACAGCGCGCACGTGCTAACCATTCGGCCATCCAACCCCCCCTATACTACAATGGAATGAAATGAAACCACACCAGTTCACTCAATGACAGACCTTATGATTGACAAGGAGTAGGGTCGCCTGTCCAACCTCGTGGATTTTCTCCGGGTCCTCCTGTTTCCTCCCACTGCTAAAGACCCCTACGCGCAAGCGAATTATTGAAATAAAATCGAACCATGTGTTAGTCCCGAAATGACCTAGTTTGTGTCGAGTGGACGTTAAACCCCATTTCTCTCTCTCTCTCTCTCTCTCTCTCTCTGTCTCTCTCTCTCTCTCTTTAGACCTTATCATACAGCGCCCTCTTACTAACCAGTCTTCCATTCAACCCCTGTTTTACCTGTAAATTTACAGTGAACTTTTTTACATAGTATAAATGTATTAGTTTTTAAAGCTTTGCTAACTACATTGAAGATAGTTCCATTAGACGGGTTACTTTGAATGCAGAGATAAGTTTCTAATGATTGCTAATGGCACACAAGACAATGGTCATACATTACCGGATGGGGAAATAATGTAAAGAAAACCTCACAAAGCAACGCTCTGGAACGCGACCAATTAATAGAAAAAAATCGAAGCGTCCCTATTAAAGTTTTACCACTATGTATATAACTCGGGGCAGCCGCTTCTCTATTAGTTGGTAAAAAAAATCTTACTCCGTTTCTCCAAAAATCTATACTAATATTTGTGACTGTCGTTTGTCTGTCTGTCTGTTCGGGGTTGGCGGCTACACTAGGTCTGCCCCGAGTCTGAAATTTGGGGTATAGGGGTTGCTCGGACCGGGGAGTAACATAGGCCAGGTGGCGTTAGTCTACCACTTCCGGTTTCGGGGTTATGACCCCCGAGCGAAGTCGGACATTCTTCTAGCATGTAATAAAATTATAACATCAACACTTTGTATTTTTGTGATGGAAACGGTGTTTAAAATCTATACACTCATCCTTTAAAGCATTTAAAATTTGTTGGTCAAATACTGGTTTAAAACATTGTAATTTTGGCATTACATCCCATGGCATAGCTAGAAATAAAGTAAAGAAATTTATTAAGAAAGTAATTATGAATTACTGTACTATTATTATTATCTTTAATCTGTGTTTCAGACAGCGGGGTAGGGGGGGTCACGGTGACTAAGTCGCTAGGTGGGTAAGACGCTGGCTCGCTAGGCTGGATGTCGGGTGTTCGATCCCTCAATAGGCCGAGAAAGTTCATCCACATTTTCCGGCGTGGTTGCCCCTTTTCAGTGATGCAGGACGGAGGCCTTGCCAAGGACAGCTGTTTAGTCGTTCGGATGGGACGAAAAACCTAGGCCCCGTGTACACATTGGCGTGCACGTAAAATATCCCCTGACAGTTGGAATTCGATATAAGAGTAGGCTGTAGTGTCGCTGTCCGGGCACAATTGCGGTTATAGCACACTGTATGGCGTATGCCTGTCTTCATTAGCCCTGTTCGGAGCAGAACAGTAGGACGTTAAACCCTATTTCATTTATTTCGTTTCAGACAGGAAAAGATGCTCTGAGTTGTTTCTCATAATGTTCCCCAATAAATAGGTTCATGATTTAAACTGTAATGGTATAGAAAACAATATACATGTAAATGAAATTACTGAAACTGATTCTAGAAACTCTAGAGATCAAACCGTGAACACCTTTGGCAGATATCTCATAGAACTGAGTATAAAGCTAAACATTAGCATTGTTAAGCAGAATAAAGGGAGATAACTTCAAGTGTGTTTATTTATCGATATGCTTATATAAATACGTTTATTGATATTTTAAATTAATTCGATCAATGGACTAGAAATAGAAAAATAAAATATAATCATAACTGGGACAGTGTCATTGTTTCATAACAATGGAAGAGAGAGAGAGAGAGAGAGAGGGGGGTGGGGGGCTTAACGTCCACTAGACACAAACTAGATCATTTCGGGACTAACATATGGTTCAATGTTATATTAATAATTCGCTTAGCGTAGTAGTCATTAGCAGTGGGGGAGGGGGCAGACAGACTTTATGATACAGCGCGGCGGAGGGCCTGAAAAAGGACAGCTGTCTAGTCGTTCGAATGGGACGAAAAACCGGGGTCCCGTGTTTACGTTGGCATGCACGTAAAAGATCCTTTGGCAGTTGGAATTCGATATAAGAGTAGGTCATAGCGCCGCTGTCCTGGCAAAATTTCCCTCATAGCACACTGTATGGCGTATGCCAGTCGTCTACCTTAGTCCAGTCGGAGCAGAACAGCAGGAGTTTAGTTAAACCCTATTTCATTTCATTTACTTACACGCTGAGCCACAGTTGCCCGCGTTCTATATTGCACTGGTCTTGTCTTTAAGACATTCACTTACATGAAATATAAATTCCTCCTCCCTTTGTAATTATTGATGCCAGGAACGATTATCAATTGTTTCTAAGTCAAAGCTCTCAACAACTGAAACAGTAATCGTTTAATGTTTTCTTCTCGACAATAACGCTTCATTGATTAAATTCTCTCTAACCGCACATCTTAACGACATATTAATCTGACCTTCTCGTTTGTCTGTCTAGCTCGCAGTATTAAACACATAAAGAGTCTAACATTTGTTATTTACGGAATAGATTTATATACATTGCAAGAGAGAGAGGGAGAGAGAGAGAGAGAGAGAGAGAGGGTTTAACGTCCACTTGACACAAACTAGGTCATTTCGGGACTAACACATGGTTCAGTTTTATTTCAATAATTCGCTTGCGCGTAGGGGTCTTTAGCAGTAGGACGTCCACTCGACAAAAATTAGGTCATTTGGGGACTAACACATGGTTCAATTTTATTTCAATAATTCGCTTGCGCGTACGGGTTTTTACCATTGGGAGGAAATCGGAGGACTCGGAGAAATCCCACGAGGTTTGACAGGCGACTCTACTCCTTGTCACGTACAACCGGGGATTCGAAACCACGCCAGTTGACTCAATGACAGGCCTAATGATACAACACGCATGTGCTAACCACTATACATCGCGAGCTAACCCGTTATTATTATCAACTTGACTACACACTCGTCTTTCTCCCTTCCAATATTTTTACCACAAACTGTTCTCGCTCTATATATAAATTAGTACATGGATGAGCTGGATGGAGGAAAGGCAAGACGATATCGATCCCAGCATTACCAGGATTAAGTTGACTCTCCCGGCCAATAATCTATGAATGGTCATCATCATGTGTTGGTGTGTGTCCCAGTCAGTTAGCTAATAGATAATGAGTGTAGAATTTCTACAATGTACATTAACGGTGGTGTTATCAACGTACAAGTCGCACATCCTGGATACCAACAGTATTCCTCTACCCAAACTCTCACTCGACGATATTGACCAATTTAACGTAGTGCGCCGTTTACTTCAATAGATGAGTTTCGATGGACCCTATGGTTCGTCTATTTGTGATTCAATAGTCCGATAGTTCCAGATAGCAGCCGTACATATTGACCAATTTAGAAGTGTTCTTGTCGACACGTGTACTCTTAGAACGATGTAATTAACATGTCGACGTTCTGTGATTATTTTTGAAAAGAGTGGAACCACTCTGGAAGATATTCCTTACAAGACAGTACTTAACGTGGAACCGTTCTGGGAAGTGCGTGTAGCCGGACGTTATATAACAAGGTTTGTTTCCATCGAGGCAGTATACATGGTTGCGGTTCTGTTCTATATGGAGTGAGAAACCGTTCTGTTAGATATATGAAGCCAGACAATATTTAACGTGATACTGTTCTGACAATATGAAAAGTAAGAATATTTTATTTATACAAGAATTCCGCTTCACGGTATGTCTACTATGGTCACATGTATTATGGAGGCAGGCAACACGTGTGTCTTTAATACAAATGTTCTAACTGCCCAATTCCTTACCCCCCTTCGGTCAGAATTCAAGTTCAGGAAGGGGCGTGGTGACCCATGATTTAGATGAAGTAAAAGATCCCGTCCGGGTTCCCCCCCCTCCAAAAAAAAAACAATATGTATATGTTGGGGTGGGGGTGGGATGGCAGTTTCCCGCCCCCCCCCCCCCTCGTACCACCGGGTAATATTGGGCTGTGTGGAACATGCTAGAGTCGAATTGTAGCATATCTGACCCACAGTATATGTTTGACACTGGTTGAGCATTATAATTGTAATGTTTAAAACCGCATTGAAACCGCGTGATTTTTTTTCCATTTGCGAAGGAGGCTCAAAAGCTCAAGGTGGCGCGGGGGTGGGGGGCAGAATGGTTAGCACGTGCACGCTGTATCACGAGGCCTATCATTGAGTCAACTGGCGTGGTTTCGAATCCCCGGTTGTACGTGACAAGGAGTAGGGTTGCCTGTCCAACCTCGTAGGTTTTCATTCAAATTACTTCATTCTGAGCCAGGTTATCACTGTTTGTAGTTTTGACAAGATGTGTGCATTGTGGTAACCAGGGCACTGGTATATTCGAGACTTAGCCTCGCTTTCTCATTTTTAAATTAACTTTTTAAATGGCAAACCGTTCTAATATAGTTAAAATTTCGAGTATCTGATGCTATCGAGGGTTGATTATTGTGGTCTTATTTTGTTAATAAATGTCTAATTAATAGTTTATATAACATTTCAGGCCTAAAGAAAAACCTGCAATAGGCTGAATAATGTATGTTTAAGCAGGATTTTTGCAATGAAATATTTTAATCGATATTATTTTTAAAAAAGAATCCACAATGGAGATTATTCTTGCTGAAAGAAAAGTGATATTTCATCACGATATTTTGATTTTAATTGTCATGGACTTCTTGTGTACACTGAACAATCTCGGTGTTTGTCCGGTTTAAACGAATAGGAAATGTATCAGTCTCATGGTCATGACAAATTAAGTTGGAGATGTGTTTTAAAAATCCCGAGATTTCACTCGACTCAGGCCGTGATTTGAAACGAAAATTAGCACGAATTTTAAATGGTACGGAAAAAGGCGTACAAATCTATTTTGTACTTCAAACCAAAATACAGTAGCGAGAGAGAGGGAGAGAGAGAGGGGGAGAGAGAGAGAGAGAGAGGTTAACGTCATTTCGGGACTAACATATGGTTTAATTTGATTTCAATAATTCGCTTGCGCGTAGGGGTCTTTAGCAGAGGGAGGAAACCGGAGGACCCGGAGAAAACCCACGAGGTTGGACAGGCAACCCTACTCCTTGTCACGTACAACCGGGGATTCGAAACCACGCCAGTTGACTCAATGGCAGATCTTATCAGTAGCAGGAACACATCATAGATTTGGACTAGTGTCCATGTATATCATCTGATATCAAACTAGTTGGGTATGAGAATCTGTTTATTATCCTAAATTCTTAAATTAAGAGGACGTAAGTCAGAATGTTCACCAGAGTGTTCATCCAGGTTTTAGGGTAATTGTGCCTTCATATTTGAACGTTATATTATATTATAATATCATGCTTAAAATACATGTACCCCTCGATTCAACCAAGAACTGGCCTATTTACTTTAAGTCGTTGTTCCCGGGTGTTCGCCGCAATTTTTAATACACAAACGGCTTTAACAAACTAGCTTAAAATGTCTATTGCTTGGTGATGGATGGATAGATATGTCTCAAATTATGCACACACTCTATTTTAAACATCCTCGATCAAGTCATGGCAAAGAAAAAAATATTTTTTAACTAACAGGCGAAGATTTCTAAAATCCTAATTGACGTGTGAGCATTGCGTGATGGCGTGCCATTATTCAACGGGTGATATTGCTAATTACGCTCCATTGGTTGATGCTCAATGCTGTATGTTCGTCCTATTCGATCAAAGAGAGAGAGGGAGGGAGAGAGAGAGAGAGAGAGAGAGAGAGAGATGGGGTTTAACGTCTACTCGACACAAACTAGGTAATTTCGCGACTAACATATGGTTCAATTTTATTTCAATAATTCGCTTGCGCGAAAAGGTCTTTTAGCAGTGGGCGGAAACCAGAGGACCCGCAGAAAACCCACGAGTTTGGACAGGCGACCTTATTCCTTGTCACTTGCAACCAGGGAATCGAAATCACGGCAATTGACTCGAAGACAGTGACCAGAAGAACCGGGTTTCATCCTGGTGTTGTCCGCGAAGGTTCCTCGGGATTTTCCAGCATGCTTTCTCTTGTCAGTGGTGTAAAATGGGGGGCATCACAAGCAAAGGTGTCTCAACGCGCGAACGGGAGGAAAACCCGAAGTTTCGTGTATCCCATTGGATGCACGTTAAAGACCCCCTTTCAGTTGGAAATATAGATAATAGTTGGTGGTAGCGTCGCTGCCCTTGTAACATTCTCCCCGTATCATATTGCAAAGCGTATGCCCGTCTACATTAACCCGGTCGGAGCAGACAAGTAGGACGTTAAACATCACATTTCAGTATTTAACTAGTAGGTTTTATTTTGATGATCCCATTTGCAGTTGGAAATTGTAATCAAACTCGGAGGTAGCGCCGCTGTCAGGGCGAAATTCCCCTCATGAGTCTTGGTACATTGCCTCCTTTCCCAGACACCCAAGGTTTACGGGGAAGATTTTATAAAGATCATCAGGAGCCACGGTGGCTTGCTAACCTAGAGGTCCCATGTTCGATCACTGCATTGACCGACAAAGTTCCCCCATGGTGCAGGACAGAAGGCCTGGCAAGGGACACCGTATAGTCTTTCGGATGAGACGAAAAATCGAGGTTCCGTGACAGTTGGAATTGGAAATAATTGTAGGCCGCAGTGCCGCTGTCCGGGCAAAATTTCACCCATAGCGCACTGTATAGCGTATGCCCGTCTTCATTATAGTCAGAGCAGGGGGGGTTGGATGGTTGTACGTGACAAGGAGTAGGGCCGCCTGTCCTACCTCGTGGGTTTTCTCCGGGTTCTCCGGTTTCCCCCACTGCTAAAGACTCTTACGCGCAAGCGAATTATTGAAATAAAATTGAACCGTATGTTTGTCCAGAAATGTCCTAGTTTGTGTCGAGTGGACGTTAAACCCCATTCTCTCTCTCTCTCTCTCTCTCTCTCTCTCTCTCTCTCTCTCTCTAGTCAAAGTAGTATAGTAGGACGTTAGCCTCCATTTCTGTTCATGCTCTGGTGATAAACCGATTATGTATATATGTATATAGTGACATATATAATCGATTGATGCCCTCTTCAATATTTTATTACACATTTATACATGTAAACGGCTGAACCAACAGAGCATAGAATATAAAAACAAAATGAAATGAAATGGGGTTTAACGTCCTACTGTTCTGCTCCGAACTGGGCTAATGAAGACGGGCATACGCCCATACAGTGTGCTATGATTGAATTTTTTCCCGTACAGCGGCACTTCGGCCTACTCTTATATCGAATTCCAACTATCAAGGGATCTTTTACGTGCACGCCAATGTGTACCCGGGACCTCGGTTTTTCGTTCCATCCGAACGACTGACAGGCAGATGCCTAGGGGTCTTTAGCAGTGGGGGGAAACCGGAGAACCCGGAGAAAACCCACGAGGTAGGACAGGCGACCCTACTCCTTGTCACGTACAACCGGGGAATCGATACCATGCCAATTGAATTAATGACAGACCTTATGATACAACGCGACCAAGCTAACCATTCGACCAAACAACACCCCAATAACGACGGACACTGATCCTCCCTACCATATGTCTAAAATCAGGATCCCAAATCAAAAACTGTACTGAAAACTGCTAAAGCCTAAATTGTTCTATTCGATAAAATAACGACTTTCGTCTGAGTTAATAAATAAAATAGTCGATTACATTGGTTTTATATGTTTATTTTGTTGTAGTTAACGCGAAGTCATAAGGAACGAAAGAGTACTTATCTGCATCCATAAGTGGGGCGTTTGTATGTTGATTGAACCAAATTACATACTTTATATTTGTAGAGATGTTTGGAATGAATAAAAGGAAGTCTGGTGTAAAATTATAAATCGGTGATGTCGTGGACAAACAATCTACTGACGGGTGTGTACTTCCTGTACATGCTACCTGCTATATATGGTAAGTAACAAAACCTATTAAAGATCGAAATTTTGAACTATAAAAACGAAACGAAATTGGTCTGTGTTTTAATCAGATTGGGTTTAAGGGGAAGTTTTTATAAAGACTAGATAATGTAAAAGTAGATAATGTAAAACTAGATAATGTAAAATGAAAATATTGAAAATTTCATTCAAATTACTTCATTCTGAGCCAAATTATCTCCGTTTGTAGTTTTGACAAGATGTATGCATTGTGGTAACCAGGGCACTGGCATATTCGAGACTTAGCCTAACTTTCCCATTTTAAATTCAATTTTTAAATGGTCTTGTTTTGTTAATAAATGTCTAATTAATAATTTAGATAACTTTTCAGGCCTAATGAAAGACCTGCAATAGGCAGATTTAGCTCTTGCATAATGTATGTTTAATATCCAACCAAAATGTAGCCGAAATACAGTTTATTGTATACTCCAATCAGATTCAAATATGGACTCAATTACGTTTCGGAATTTTTTTTATGTTATATTTCATTACACAGTGATGTGCAAATCAGAATAATATGCGAAACTAAATTGTCACTAACTGGCATATGGACACAGGCAATGTGATCAAAACACAGATACTACTTCGTTTCGTTTTTTTATAGTTCAAAATGTCATTTTACTTGTCTTTACTACACTAGGATCTGGAAGTGTTTTTATATAACCCGCTTTCTGGATGATGTGAAGGATTAGCCAATGAAACGGTCTGTTACGGTGAGTTTTTGGCGTTAGGTGCACAGAACTGTGGGTAAAACATATCAACGCTGATTGATTAATCAAATGTGTGACGCCATATGGTCAAAAGTCACTCGTATGACCTCTGTCGCGACCTTCCACTGCAACCGGCCAGATCTTCATAAACTAGAGGCCATCAAAACTATAAAAAACGAAACGAAATATAGATCTATATTTTAATTAAATTGGAACACAGGGTGAATGAAAATGCGGTATTCCATCTCGATGTAGAATGTAATAAACAGTAGACCTATTTTAAGGATAGGGGGGTTGGATGGCCGAATGGTTAGCACGCGCGCTGTATTATACGGTCTGTCATTGAGTCAACTGGCGGGGTTTCGATTCCTCGGTTGTACGTGACAAGGAGTAGGTTCACCTGTCCAACCTCGTGGGTTTTCTCCGGGTCCTCCGGTTTCCTCCCACTGCTAAAGACCCCTACGCGGAAGCGAATTATTGAAATAAACAAAATTAAACCATATATGTTAGTCCCGAAATGACCCAGTTTGTGTCCAGCGGACGTTAAACCCCATTTTTTCTCTCTCTCTCTCTCTCTCTCTCTCTCTCTCTCTCTCTCTATTTTAAGGATAAGATAATTTATTGATCTATTTTTTTCGCAATGGAACCTCGCGTGTCAAACATTTTACCTCCTTTAGGCGTTTTTTCTTAATAGACTATTATACTGGGCCGCTTTAGTTTCAACGATCCCAGCTTTTAGCTTAATGATATATTAATTATATTTGATAAAATCCCAGATCCACAGGATCAAGAGACATGAATATAAAAGTACTTCCACTAATTTGTGTGGCAATATCGACTTTTTTTTTAGCCGTGCATTATTCATAGGCTCTTACGGCCTTTTGTATTACATGATGTTATTTAGATGTGTTTTTATATCAATTTGCAAGAACATGTTCTCCAATCGTCCTCGGAGCCATTTGTTTAAATGGTGATTTAGTAATTGGTCACATGGGACAAAATAACAAACGTTAATGGAATACTGTTTAATGGATTTAATTGTTGGGGTGGGGTGGGGGCGATTCAACATTATTCCCAGATAGTGGCGTTTTCGCCTACTGTTATTTCTTATTCCCTAAAAAGTTATTTTACGTGCACACCAACGTGTCCTGTACGACAAGGCGGGGGAGGGAGAGGGTATCAGGTCTAAACATTAAGGCCAACTGCATATTTCGTTTAGGTCGCGAGATGTAAATAGGGTTAGGGCACGTAATTGCTGACGTAAATGTAGGTTAGTATAAGGGTAAGGTCTATAGGTCTACGGTTAGGGTTAGCTGTAGTTCTGTTTACATCCCGTGACCTTTGATCAAATCTGCAGTTGGCCTTAATATTTAGAACTAACCGGGGTTACTTGGTTGAAAAATCTCGAAAAATTTTGGCGGCCAAAACCGGAATCGAAGCAAGGACTTCCTGGTTTAATATCGCGATTTTTGATTTAGCTGATCAGAGCCAATTAACACATTATAATCAAAGTTAAAGACGTCGAGCCATATTAAAAATACATTATAGAAGACCTAAATCTGTTTATTGCAGGTCTTTATTTAGGCCTGAAATGTTATTTAAATTATTAATTAGACATTAATTAACTTATCCAGACCATAATCAACTCCCGATGCCATCGCTAGCATGCGATATTTACTGCATTGGGATCCAATTTACTGCTCAACTTCCATTCATAATTTAATCATGAAAGGGATAATCGAGACTATGTTTTATTATCGTACCGACTTTGGTAATGATAATCGAGGCTAGGCCGAAAATTCAATCGCTAAATTCTCGGTTCAGAATGGATCAATTTGACTGAAATTTTCAGCAAATTCCCTTTACATTATCTAGTTTTTAACTACTATAGTGAGAACTTATGAGCTTTTTATCTATAATCTCCCATAATGTATCTTTAAATAAACTACTCCTTTATTTTCCAGGATTTCTATCATTGAGTCAACTGGCTTGGTTTCGAGTCCCCGGTTGTACGTGACAAGGAGTAGGGCCGCCTGTCCATCCTCGTGGGTTTTCTCCGGGTCCTAGGGGTTTCCTCCCACTGCTAAAGAGCCCTACGCGCAAGCGAGTTATTAAAATAAGAAATTAAAAAAAAAACATATCTTAGTCGCGAAATGGCCTGGTTTGTGTCGAGTGGACGTTAACCCCCCCCCTCTCTCTCTCTCTCTCTGTCTCTCACTCTCTCTCTCTCTCTCTCTCTCTCTGTCTCTCTCTTCCGGGATTTATAATCTTTGTATTACCTGACATACATTGGAGATACCATGTGATTTCTATATGCCGACATATTGCTTTAAGCCATCGACCTAATAAATTTGTTTAATAGAAAGATAACACGTGTAGTATATATAGGATATACGATATATATTGATCGTGGAACACATATTATTAACTCGTATATATACCTTATAAAAATATATTATATATATCTAAACGATATGAGGTGATGATCTAGACTATGGTAATATTATATTGATCATGGCATACATATTATTAACTCGTACATATTCTTATAAAAATATATACCTCTATGGGGGTGACAAGGAGCAGGTTCGCATGTCCAACTTCGTGGGTTTTCTCTGGGTCGCCCGGTTTCCTCCCACTGATAACGACCTCTACGCGCAAGGGAATTATTGAAATACAATTGAACCACATGTTAGTCCCGAAATAACCTAGTTGTGTCGAGTGGACGTTAACACCTCTCTCTCTCTCTCTCTCTCTCTCTCTCTCTCTCTCGCTCTCTTTCTGACCATACTTACGCTGTTAAACGCGGATTAGAACCACATTACAAACAAAATAAAATCAAGTACGAACAATCCAAACTATCAGACAAAATTCTAAGTCCTAAAAAAACAGTATAGGCAAAATAGTGTAATCAGCATATACACATTTACAAACTGGCCCCGAGTTCACATAGCATTCTCAGACTTAAGTTGAGAATTTACTCAAACTTGTTCACCTTATTTTAACTAAAACATAGACCTTTATAATAATTTTGTTGTTTTAATGTATCGGATACACCCATAAGAAACTATGTGCAAAGTTTTGTGTTTCTGCATCAAAGATATTTCTCATAAACCTTGATTGAAAGTTGAGCAAATTTTCAACTTATGTCTGAGAATGCTTTGTGAACTCGGGGCCGGATTAAAGGACAATATTGGTGCCAGTCATTATCACATATGTGATAGAGCTGGTTAAACACATTCCAAATATACTTTTAACAAAGAGATCATTGCTACAATAGCTGAGTAATACAGGTTTCCCGAATCGGAAGTGACGAACGCCAAAGGAAAACACGAGTCACCGCTCTATATAACTGACTGAAGCGACGAGTGATAACAGATACACGGCCGAATTTCGCCTCACTAATAATTCCTTCGAAGACCAAAAGTTGTTATATGGGACTGTAAGAGTATATCTGACAATTCAATAAAGTAATTGAATGTCATTAGATAAGAGAACACGAGAAAAATAGAAATAGTCCGCACATTCCCTTGTTTATATTCTTATACCTTATAAAAACATGGTAATGCACGGACCTTTTCTGTTTTTCTTTTGTGTTCTCTTATCTAGTGGCAGTCAATTCTTTTTATGAATTGTCAGATATCCTCTCACAGTCTCACACAACAAACGAAACGAAACTGATACGTATACTAATTTTTAAATATTTTCGGCCATTCAGGGCAGGTTTCTATTAGATGACGTGTAACATTGGCCATACATTGGTCGAGGTAAAGTCTTTTTGAGGGTGCAGGTTCTTTCGTAACCTGACTGTTTCGTACTTAGTTCATTCGTACCTCACTTCGTACCTCAAATTGATTCGTACCTTTTCCTATGTTGTTGAAATCAGTTGAAAGAAATTGAAAATGCCGAACCAGAATTAGAATATGCCCGAGATTTGTACCTCAAATTGATGAGTTCCTTTTCCTAAATCCAAGCGTATTTTATATATCCTTTATTTTACCAGACGTTTAGCAAATGTTCTGGAGTAATGCTAACTATAAGTTATACGATCCATTATCTCTTTATTATTATAATTAACCATTAATGTCTGGTAACCCTTAGTAACTTATATAATACCTTTGTTAAACAAGTATTATTTTGTTACGTCACAAGCTCTAGCAGCCTCAGTTATCGATTTATACCGGTTTACGACAGCGGGGGTCGTAGGGAGTCTTCCGGAGTTTTAAAGTCCGGCTGCCAATTTCCGGGTGTGGTGTTTGGATGAGACGGAAAAATCACGGTCAAGTGTACACAGTTATAGTTGTAATTTGCAAAAAGTAGGCTGTAGCGCCATTCCCTGGGTAAAATTAATTTCTCCTCTCATCGGAATAAAGTACCGCATGATCGTCATTTTGCAGTTTAGAAACCGTCGCAAAACTTGAACAACGGAGTCTAAGCCAGTAACCCGCCCATCCGCGCCGAGCGAGTAAGAGATAGAGAGAAATGGGGTATAACGTCCACACGAAACAAACTATGTAGATCATTTCGGGACAAACACATGGTTCAATTTTATTACGATAATTCGCTTCCGGTGAGAGGAAACCGGAAGACTGGAGAAAACCCACGGGGTTGGACAGGCGACCCTACTCCTTGTCACGTACACCCCGGGGAATCGAAACCACGCCAGTTGACTCAATGACAGACATTATGATACAGTGCGCACGTGCTAACCATTCGCCCATCCAACCCTCGCGAGTAAGATAATGTTGATATATTTCTGATCATGATTCGATATTAAAGAACTGACATTAAATATATGTTTTTATTTCCTCGTTGTCTCCCGCACCCCTCGCCACCCACGCCGCCCCACCTCCATTCCGCGGGTCATTCGATTAAATGAAACTGGTGAAATTTTGCAACAGACAATATCTAATTTTATACGATTTAAATGATTTTTCCAAAAATTTAAATAAGTAAACAAAATAAAAAAAATATCAATATATGATTGAATAATAACGTATAGAGACTTAAAGTAGCTAAGTATCTATCTCAATATCATCCAAAATCTTCGACATTGAAAACACGAATTATTTGTCAATATAAATCTACATTGATGTTGTGATCTTACCGGGAAACAGATGGCCTTCTGATATCCAATATTTAAGACAAAATAAACATTTTACCGTTGGTACACAAATTGTGTACACGAATCGTGTACCATGGTGCATTTCAGCGCCATTTTTAACAGGGGACTCGTAGAAAGAGGCTAGATATATTCCACAAGTCATGTCAAACGGTGACGTCATATTCTTATCTGGAGAGCATGCGCAATAAATACTATCGGTATAGAGTGGAATAACCAGACGCTAGAGATTGCCATTGGATTGAGACTTCTGACGTATTTCGCCGAATATAACTGATTAGAAATTGCAGTAAACACAGAAACGATTGAATGTAAATCAGTTTATACATGTATACATTCACATTACATTATTATATACGTTGCGACCCATTTGTTTCAATTTCTAGATCCAAAATATTAGCGATTTAACTCCTTTAAATCTTTAGAGGTGTTTTATACCGGTTGCATTAAATAATATTACCGTACACAACATATAGCTGCTAAACCACATAAATAGATCACAAACAATCCAAATGGAATCAATGCTAGTCACAATAATTAGAGATAATTTCGCGTGTTATATCTCTTTAGTCTAATAGCTGTCTGCTCTAGAAGTAAGGATGTCACTAGGTGTGCTATAATTATTTAAATTACATGTGTGACGTCATCCTTTGATGTTGTTGTTGTTGTTTTTAGTGTTTAACGTGCGCTTCCACCGAAGTTGATATCGCAGACAGGTCTTATTTTTTATTTTTTATTATCTTAGCGCTCGCGCAGGGGGCTTTCTTGTGGGAGAAAACCGGAGTAACCGCAGTAAACCCACGAGGATGAGAAGGCGCCACATCGCTCACACCAGGGATCGAAACCACAACCGCAAGTCAGAAGTGACTGGCCAGCTAGAGGTCGAAGCGCGGCACTCTAGACCACTAGGACATCCCCCCCCCCCCCTAATCATCTTGTTGTTCTTAGTGTTTAACGTCCGCTTCCAACGAAGGTGATATCGCAGACAAGTCTTATTTTTTTATTATCTTAGCGCACGCGCAGGGGTCTTTCTTTTGGGAGGTAACCGGAGTAAAACCACTTGGCCATCCCAACTCACCTTTGATGTTGGCGTATACATTATTTTAATGTGATCAGTTATGTGTATTTCAGGTGCACCGGGAAATCTCACGTGTTATACCTGCTCCTCCAGTGATCCTAATGGTGAATGTGTTATCAACGCCACACTGTCGACAGTTACAGCGTGTGCACCAGCTGAAATATACTGCAGGGTAAGAAATTCACTGCATTTTATAAATCACATTATCATGTGTAATCAGAGATTGATTGGTAGGTAACTATGGGCACCCGCACCAACTAGTTTCATTGGGCCCCCTTCACGGTTAAGAGAGAGAGAGAGAGGGGGGGGAGAGAGCGAGAGAGAGAGAGGGAAGAGAGAGAGAGATGGGGTTTAACGTCCACTCGACCCAAACTAGGTCATTTCGGAACTAACACAAGGTTCAATTTTATTTTAATAATTCGCTTGCGCGTAGGGATCTTTAACCGTGGGAGGAAACGGGGAACCCGGAGAAACCTTACTCCTTGTTACGTACAACCAGTGAATCGAAACCACGCCAGTGGACTCAATGACAGACCTTATGATACAACGCACACGCACTAATCATTCGGCCACCCACCCTCTACCCTTCCTAGTGAAGAGAAAACCAAACTAGCTTGATTCACCTTTCCCACATCCGACGCATAGATAATTTTTCGTCGCGTATTTAGGTCCGAATATTTTTGAGCGGATGCCATTTGTTTTCATTCGGGGCCGATGGGCCCCTGCCCCACCCTGGCTCTCGGACCACGACCGACTGCCCGAGGACCAGTTCGCCCCCTGCCGGTAACGATATTTATTCCGCTGTGAAGTCTTTCGCACGATGATAGTAATATTTGTTTACCGCATACATAGCGTTGAGACATTTCGGGACTAACACATGGTTCGAACTTATTTCAATAATTCGTTTGCGCGTAAGGGTCTTTGCCAGTGGGAGGAAACCGGAGGACCCGGAGAAAACCCACGAGGTTTGACAGGCGACACCATTCCCACAATCAAGAAAAGCTGTTACATCAAACGAAAATGTCTTCTATTGATTCTATTTTGTCAACTGATGGAAAAATAGACACAAGGAAATCCGATTTGAATATCCACTGGTTCTATATAATAATTAATATCGCATTAATTAAAATGGAGATCATATACTTACTCCGTTGGGAATATTTTCTTATTTTTAATGCGCCTGAAATATGAAACAAATGATTTTCTATGTAATTTATATGTAATACTATTTTTAAGGTTTATCGTCAGGACAGCCAGGGAAAGTTTGTATCTCTAGAGAGGGGTTGTGCCGCCTACTGTCGAGCCGGATGTGGTGTATGGGGTGATGATGTCGACGATGACAAATGCTTTTCCTGTTGTCAAGGTGATTTATGCAATACCGATAACTCTGCGAATAGTGCTCGGATACCTAGTGTAATATTCTTGTTAGGAATGTATTGGTTGTATAGTCTTCTCGAACAGTTTAGGGTTCCGTTAGTGTAGTTATGTTATTTTTGCTGGACATCTAGAGCTTCCTTGTTGACCGAGACTAACAATCTCAAGACTCGTCACTTGTTTATGTCTGTTTTGTTTATTATATTACCCCAACCGCACTGGAATCGACACTGCGATGTCTTAAAGTTTTGAACAACCAGTGTTTAGATGGCACTCAAAAGACATACTTAATTTAAACAAAACTTTGAAAACATGTGAGTGAAACTTGCATGAGGGCAGGTGGTACATAGACGCCATTTTTTGTCGTACAACCAGTGTTTATAAATAGACTTGGATTTCAAGACATTAGTTGCCGACTGAAGCTGGATCAATGACGGTTAAAATTTAAATAAGCCGAAAATGGAAATGAGTGTATGTGATAAGATCAAGCATTTTTCATGGAATCAGTTTATAATTTATTAGCATAGTAATTGAGATTGCGGGATTAAGGAATATCAAGACAAAATTAAATATTACAATATTTATTTATTAGTTGAACTTATAAAATGATTAGAAGTGAAATTAGAACAGTGAACGTTTCGGGAAAAACTGTGTTTAGTTCAAAATTATGCAACTTCATTGAGACCGGTAGATACTTGTCTCCGAATAAGACTAGATATGTCGAAATGAACACAATTATCTAGGCCGTACACAGTTTAAAAACTTTATTTTATTATTTTTTTTTTTATTTTATTATTATTTTTTTTTTTTTTTTTATAGACAGTACTTTATTTGCAGAAAAGGATTGAGGAACAAGCTAGGCCTATATTACCTCTCTCCTATATGACAGAAAATATATACAAAAAGACTATATAACCATGTTATGATAAAATCAATCTGAATAGTATACTAATAAAGTCAAAAGATTGGCCGTACACAATGAAATCGCTGTATTCAGAGCTTTGAGACTAGAAGGTATTGGTTACCCGACTGCCATCTTGATCAATGTCCCTATCATCCTAAAACCAGCGAGCTCATAACATTTAATCGGCCGTGACGTGTTTAAAAATGTTACAAAACTATTGAAATATGTTAAAGTGGAAATTAACTAAATAACAATCTGATTAAAATACAGATCATAAATGAAATGAAATGAAATGGGGTTTAACGTCCTACTGTTCTGGGCCCTTATTCGCGAAAACTTAAACTAAGATACAATCGAAATTTTAAGAAATACTGCAATTCGATTGGCTGACCAGTAAAATCAATTTGCATATATCCAATTTGCATATTGGTCAGCCAATCGAATTGCAGTATTTCTTAAAATTTCGATTGTATCTTAGTTTAAGTTTTCGTGAATAAGGGCCCTGCTCCTATGCTGGGCTAATGAAGACGGGCATACGCCATACAGTGTGCTATGAGGGAAATTTTGCCCGGGCAGCGGCACTATCGCCTACTCTTATATAGAATTTCAACTGTCAAGGGATCTTTTACGTGCATTCTAATGTATACACGGGACCTCGGTTTTTGTCTCATCCGAAGGACTAGACAGCTGTCCTTGTCAGGCCCTTCGTCCTGCATCACTGACAAGGGGAAACCAAAATACAGATCATAATTCATTTCGGTTTTTATTGTTCAAAATATCGTTTTACTTGTCTTCACTACACTAGGATCTGGAAAAGTTGTTAAATAACCCGCGTTCTGGTTGATGTCAGGGATAAACCAATGGAAATGTTCTGTTGAGTCAAGTTCTTATCGTCTGGCACGCGGAACTGTGGGTAGTCATTCACAGCGATAGAAAACAAATCAAAGGAAAAGTTGTATTTCCGAATATACACGTAAAACACCGACGCTGATTGGTTAATAGCTGACATGATAGGGCCAAAAGCCGCTCGTATAGTGTAGGATATCTAAAGTATCAAAAACCAAACCAAACATAGATCTGTATATTAATTAGATTGACTTAAAGTAGCTAAGTCTCTAACTCAATATCATCCAAAATCTTCAACATTGAAAACACGAATTATTTGTCAAATTAAACCCACATTCATGTTGTGATCTTACCGGAAAAAGATCCCAAATGTTAGCGATTTAGCTCCTTTAAGACATGCGCACAGCAAGATATGTTTAATGGTGGCATCAATCATAAAGACAGACAACTAGACACATTTCCTGGTCGTTTCTTGTCAGACATTTCGGCGGAGACCGGACACCGAGTTCACAAAGCATTCTCAAACTTAAGTTGAGAATTTACTCAAAATTGTTTCCCTTATTTTAACTAAAATATAGCCCATTATAAAACTTTTGTTGTTTTAATAATGGCATCAAATATATTAATAAGAAACTATAATATGTGCAAAGTTTTGTGTTTTTGGATCAAAGATATTTCTTATAAACAGTGATTGAAAGTTGAGTAACTTCTTAAAGCTACAATTTCATTTTTTTAAGTTATATTTTTAAAATTTATTAAAATAAAGCCTTAAATAGATGGTATCCATAAACCGTCCTACCTTGTTAAAGAATAATCCTATTAATCCTATAATTCACTATTGCCAGCTGAGAAATTGGCAAAAATATCATTTCCAACGTTCGAAGGTAGCTAATGCATGCAGGCAATAGGAAAAGGAGGGAGGTAATTGTGTTATTATTTCCTGTGTCAATGATTTTTAAGGGTGGGAAATAATGCCCATGGTCGTATAATAGTGAGTTGATAACCTATTGAGCAAAACACATAGAAATAATTATGTTTTGACTTTCTTCGAAAATATGAAATTCTCGCTTTAACTTAAGTCTGAAAATGCTTTGTGAACTTGGGGCCAGGTATCTTAAATGCTCAGACATTTTTTGGGTCCACATTGGAATATTCTAGTCGTGCCACCAGTGCCTTGATCAATCGACTGCTATAAAACCATTTCTCGATCAGTTGGCGATGAACTTGTCTTTTTCATTTGAATAGTAAAGGGTCGAAAACCGTACCCAGTTGGGCCTAGGCCGTGGTGACCGCTGATTTAGCATGAGTATCACTATCCCATAGGGAGCACAACAATCCAATATTTATGTCGTTTGGGTTTTCAGGGGGTTATCTCCAAGAAATGATGAGCTCTGTGGAACATGCTAGGGCCGATTTGAAGCATATTTAAGCCACTATGTTTGATAGTGACACTGGTTGAACAATATAATCTTATAGCTAATATTTAAGATTATAATCTGCACTGAAACTAGGTGGAAATGAAATGAAATGAAATGGGGTTTAACGTCCTACTGTTCTGCTCCTAACCTGGGCTAATGAAGACGGGCATACACCATACAGTGTGCTATGAGGGAAATTTTGCCCGGACAGCGGCACTACGGCCTACTCTTATATCGAATTCCAACTGCCAATGGATCTTTTACGTGTACGCCAATGTGTACACGGGACCTCGGTTTTTCGTCCCATCCGAACGACTAGACAGCTTTCCTTGTCAGCCCCTCCGTCCTGCATCACTGACAAGGGAGAACCAGAAACTAGGTGGTGGGGTGGTGGGGGGGGCTTGAAAGGAGACACAATAACTCAAGTGGGGCTCGAATTGTCTAAACTGATGACAAAAAGAGCTTCACTGCGTCCACTTCTTGTTTGGGCCAAAAGAAAATTGTTCATTTTTGTTTGTTTATTGAATTGAATAGTTGCTGAAATGTTTTCTGATGTGTTTTAGTAAAATAATTTTTACCCTACTCAAAGCCAATTTTGAGATATTTACGACATTTTCAATAAAGGGAGGGAG